AGCAGCACTAGTTGGCCGATGTTGACTCACACCAACTATGGAGTGTGGTCAGTGACCATGAAGGTCAAGCTCAGAGCCCGACAGCTCTGGAATGCAGTTGACAAGGGCACCGAAAATGAGGAAGATGACATGTCAGCGTTGGAGGCTATCCTCGCTGCTGTATCGGCGGAGTATAGGGAGCCATTGGGGGCGAAAAGCTCTGCTAAGGAGACGTGGGAGGCTATTGCGGCGATGCGCATCGGTTCCGATCGCGCAAAGAAGGTGACGACCTAGCTTCTGAAGCAGGAGTATGTCAACCTCAAGTTTAAGGATGGTGAATTGGTGGAGGACTTCTCCCTCCGCCTACAGACGCTCATCAGCAAGCTGAAGAGCCATGGCATCAACATCAACGAAGAGGAGGCAGTCTCCAAGTACTTCCACTCGGTGCTGGCAAAGTACATCCAGATTGCTCTCTCAATAGAGATGATGCTAGACTTGTCCACCCTCACCATTGAGGATGTGACAGGCCATTTGCAGGCGGTGGACAAGGGCCTGGAGCAGGCGACAGCAACGAAGGATAGTGGCAAACTGCTGCTGACAGAGGAGTGGTCTGCTCGGAGGAACTCCGAGGTAGCCTCCTCCATCCGCGGTGGCGATGGCAAGCATCGCAGCAAGGCTTCTTCAGAGAAGAAGAAGCAGGTCGACCCCAACGCCTGTCGACGCTGCGGGAAGACGGGCCATTGGGTACGGGAGTGCCCAAATCGCAAGCAGGAGAAGAAGGTTGAGGCTCATCTGGCGCAAGCTGATGATGATGATGAGGCCACTATCCTGATGGCGACGTTTTGTGCACTGCACGACGTCGAGGCCGAGGAGAAGGGAGAGGTGACAATGATGGAACGATCTAAGAAGGCCCTGAAAGCTGTCAACCTCGACGAACCACGCGTCCGAGTCCACCTCGGATGTGTGGGTGGCAAGCAGGAGCAGCGGTGGTACCTGGACTCTGGCGCCATCAACCACATGACGGGCTCCAAGGCAGCCTTCTCCAAGCTCGACCATGATGTTACTGGTACAGTGAAGTTTGGTGACGGCTCAAGGGTGACAATCCAAGGGCGAAACACCATCATCTTCAGGTGCCAGAAAGGGGAGCACCACGCGCTAACGGATGTATATTACATCCTACAGCTGTGTTCAAGCATCATCAGCATTGGTCAGCTAGATGAGCGCAGTAGCGAGGTACTGATCAAGGATAGAGTCCTCAGGATTAGGGACCGGGAGCAGCGACTTATTGCCAAGGTGAAGAGGTCCCTAAACCGGTTGTACCTGCTCGACCTGAAGGTAGAGCAGCCGGTGTGCCTGGTGGCAAGGCACACCGAGGAACCATGGCTGTGGCAAGCCCGGTTCAGACATCTCAGCTTCAACGCGCTTGGTCAGCTGGAGAAGATGGTCTGAGGGCTACCCCACATCAAGCACGGAGGCGAGCTGTGTGATAGCTACTTGGCTGGGAAGCAGAGGAGGCTAACGTTCCCAAAGGCGGCCAAGTATCGCGCGGAGGACGCTCTCAAGCTTGTCCACGGCGACCTCTGCGGGCCAATCACGCCAGCCACAAACGGTGGTCGGCGGTACTTCCTCCAACTCATGGATGATTGTAGTCGCTACATGTGGCTGCAACTCCTGACGAGCAAGGACGAAGCGGCGGCGGTGATCAAGAAGTTCAAGATGCGCGCGGAGGCCGAGAGTGGCAAGAAGCTCCACGTGCTGAGAATTGATTGTGGCGGCGAATTCACTTTGGTGGAGTACGCTGCGTACTGCGTGGATAAGGGTGTGGTATGACATCACACCGCGCCATACTCACCACAACAGAATGGCGTGGTGGAGCGATAGAACCAAACGTTGGTCAGCATGGCTTCATCCATGATGAAGGCCAAAGGCATGTCGGCATGGTTTTGGGGTGAGACGGTGACCAGGGCAGTGTTCATCCTCAACCACGCTCCCACCAAGGACCTGAAGGGCCAGACGCCGTTCGAGGCTTGGCATGGGCACAAACCGAGCGTGTCCTTCCTTCGGACATTTGATTGCATCGGCCACGTTAGGAAGACGTAGCCGATCCTCACCAAGCTGGAGGACAGGAGCACACCGATGGTGTTACTGGGCTATGTGGAGGGCACCAAGACGTACCGGCTCTACGACCCACGCGGAGATAAGGTACTTGTCTCGCGCGATGTCGTGTTCGACGAGAAGGCGGCTTGGGACTAGAATAGTCTGAGCACGGGGGAAGCTGGCGGCTTCACCAGCACCTTCGTCGTTGAGCACTTGGTCATCCACGGTGGCGGAGACGCTGGGGAAGAGGTACCGAGCACTCTAGAAGGGGTGTCGAGCACTCTGAAAAGAGAGCCGAGCACTCCTAGAGCGGTGCCGAGCACTCATGGAAGAGTGCCGAGCACTCATGGAAGAGTGCCGAGCACTCCTGGAGGGATGCCGAGCACGCTAGGAGTGATGCCAGGAGGTTCTGCAGTGGTGGTGACCACTCTAGGATGGGTGTCGAGCACTCTCATAGCAGAGCCAAGAGGTCTTGCAGTGGTGCCGACCACTCCAAGACTGAGGCTCAGCACTCCTATAGTGGTGCCAAGCACTGTAGGAGTTATGACGAGTTGTCCAGGTGTAGTGCCGAGCACTACAACCAGGGTGCCGAGCACTCCGGTGGAACAGGGAACTCCATCAACACTGATCGAGTTTGCCTCACCTCCAAGTGACATCACTGAGTTCGTGGATGCCTTCCACGAAGGTGAGGAGGTGCGGTTCCGCAGGCTGGATGACATCGTCTGCGGCACAGGGCCGTCAGGCCTGGTGGGTAGGCTGCTCAATGACCCAGAGCTCCTACTCATCAGTACAGAGGAACCACCCACGTTTGCGCTGGCCGAGCGCGATGGAAACTGGCGACGGGCGATGCTGGAGGAGATGAAGGCGATCGAGGAAAATGAGACTTGGGAGCTCGTCGATCCACCTCCAGGATTTCGTCCGATCAGCCTGAAGTGGGTGTACAAGGTCAAGCGGGACGAGCTTGGCGCCAGTGTCAAGCACAAGGCGTGTCTCATCGCCCAAGGCTTTGTTCAGCGCGAGGGCATCGACTTCGAGGAAGTCTTTGCTCCAGTAGCGCGCATGGAGTCTGTTCGTTTGCTACTAGCCTTGGCAGCAGCAAAGGACTGGCGCGTCCATCACTTGGATGTTAAATCGGCCTTCCTCAACGTCGAGCTGGCAGAGACGGTCTTCGTCAGGCAACCTTCGGGTTTTACCGTCAAGGGAGCGGAGCACAGGGTGCTCTGACTGCACAAGGCGCTCTACGGGCTGCGGCAGGCCCCACGAGCGTGGAACGCCAAGCTTGACATCACGCTGGGCAAGCTTGGGTTCACGAGGTGCGGAACCGAGCACGCGCTATACACGCGACGACGGGGAAGGAGGAGCTCATCGTCGGCATGTATGTGGACGACTTGATCATCACCGGCGCGCATGCGGAGGACATCAACAACTTCAAGCGCGAGATGACGGCTCGTTTTCGAATGAGCTATCTCGGCGCACTCTCCTACTACCTCGGCATCGAGGTGAGACAGGGGAAGAAGGAACTCACACTCGTCCAGAGCGCGTATGCCTCGAAGTTGTTAGAGCGGAGCGGCATGGCTGAGTGCAAGCCATGCGTGACTCCGATGGAGGAGCGGCTGAAGCTAACAAAGGCCAGCACCACGGCGAAGGTGGATGCAACACTCTATCGAAGCATCATCGGCGGTCTACGCTATCTAGTCGATACGAGGCCGGACATTGCGTTCGCCATGGGCTACGTCAATCGTTTCATGGAGGATCACTGGGCTACGGTGATGCAGCTACTACGCTACGTCAAGGGGATGGTGGATCGAGAGATCATCTTTCCTAAGACCGACGGGAGTAGGTACCTCTGGCATGCTTGTCTTCCTCGGATCGGCTCCAATTTCATGGCTGTCGCTGAAACAGAAGGTGGTGGCGCTATCTACGTGCGAAGCAGAGTACGTAGCAGTGGCCACAGTGGCGTGCCAAGTTGTGTGGCTGCGCCAGCTGCTGGGCGAGCTGACCGGTGCGGAAGCTCACCCACCAGCACTGATGGTGGACAACCAGTCCATCGCCCTCACAAAGAATCCGGTTCTCCATGACCGGAGCAAACACATCGACATAAAGTTCCACTTGCTCAGGGACTGTGTCGATGGAGGACAGATCGTCATCGAGTTCGTCGAAACTGGTCGGCAACTCGCGGACGTCTTCACCAAGCCGCTCGAACATGTTCGACTCACGGAGCTGAAGGAGATGATCGGCATGGAGGGGGTACAAGGGATAGCAGTAGGATTAGGGGAAGAATTGTTAAATAATCTACTGCTTCCTATGTGAACACACACCAGGGGAAGGCGGCGCCGAAAATGCTCCCTGCTGTGGTACTGTAGCCGCTGCAGAGACAGGCGCCGAATGGCTCACCTGCCGCACTGTAGCCACAGCAGGGACAGGCGCAGAAGTCAGTCCTGCTATGTTATCTAGTCACTGTAGCAGCATGACAACTGTACTAGGACTAGATTGATAGAGTTGTATATATAGTTTGCCACTGCAACTTAGTGAAGAGAGTTCAGATTTGCCATCTCCTATACAGGGCTCCGGCAAACGCTGGTGTCTCTGCTATGTGTGTATGCTCTGTTCTCTCTCTTCTTCTATCTCTGACCATAGTGTGTGGTCGGACAGCGTCTGTCGTGCTCGACCGTGGTCGGCAAGACTGATGAGTGATCGACTCACCTAAGCCAGTGATCCTGTGGGCTAACAAAGTCCAACCCGGTGCACAAGAAGGTGCCCGTGCTCATCCACGACGGCAAGCCTGTCTGCGAGTCTCAGATCATCGGGCAGTACATCGACGAGGCTTTCCCAAACGTCGCCGGCGCGCCTGTCTGACCCTTACGACCGTGCGGTTGCTCGCTTCTGGGCCTCCTACGTCGACGACACGGTACTTGCTAGCAGTCATGGACTCATGGCACCCTCTCCAAACCACCAATTGCTTGCCTCACTCTCATACGACTCCGATTCTTTCTGCATGGCAGTTGTACCGCACGTGGGTACCCATTTTCAGAGGCAGGACGGCCGAGGAGAGGGTGCAGGCGGCGACGCAAGTCGTGGCGGTTCTCCAGACGCTGGAACAGGCGTTCAAGAAGTGCTCCAAGGGGAAGCCGTTCTTCGGAGGGGACAGCTTGGGGCTCATGGACGTCGTGCTCGGCGGCCACCTTGGATGGCTGTACTCCACCGAGGCCATCTGTGGGGTGAAGGTCGTCGACGCCACCAAGACGCCGCTGCTAGCTGGTGGCGTGGGCACAGCGGTTCTGCGCGCTGGACGCTGTGAAGGGGCTGATTCCGGACGTGGACAGGCTTGTGGAGTATAACAAGACCAGGCGGGCCGGCCTTGGGCTGCCTCTGCTCCTGCCGTACGTGGAGCTGCAGCAGTAACAAGAATGATAAGCTAGCAAGCATATTATGCCGGCTCCAATCAAATTTATAATGGATAGAATAATCGTTAGAACGGGTTTCTTTTCCGTTCTGGTGTTAAAATTTAAATAAAGTGCTGGGACAGTGCTACATATACACTCCATTCATTTGTTTTAATGAACCAAACAACTAATAAGGAGAAGACCTGCCGATTGTAAGTGAGAAGCTATGTTGTGGGCTACTAACCATCATCCATATTCTCCTACTCGGCAGACAGTGCCTCCTTTATCATGTGGGGAGGCGAGGTGTACTCACCTAATACCATCCAAACTTCTACACAGACGGTGGACACTTCCTAGAGGAAGGTTTCAGCAAGGCCAGTTATATCAGAAACATCCAAGTGGTAGCTTCGTCCAACAATCTCAAATCACCAGGCAGTATGGACTTGCTAAGTTCACAACTGGCTGCTATAGTGTACAGAATGGTTCTAATAGCAACTGGGGCACTTACATCTACTATGGTGGACCCCGAAAGAACCATAATAACTGCGTTGGTAAAAATTGAAGTTCTTTTAATTTAAAGCACATACATCTTCCTGACACATTCAATAATATAAATAGACACATGTGACTGATTCATTTCTGCAGCATATAAGTAAACGAAGAATTTTTTTTGGTAACCAAACATTTTTTTTTTGTTTCCCCATTGAGCAATTTTGCTTGCCAGCTGGAGCGTGTTGTTCATTCACTGATTTAACATTTTCTTTCTTCTCTATAAGAACAATGTTTCTTCCAAATGATGCGATCGGTAAGTAGCCATACGCCTGCGAGGCCCGGCGAGGCCTGCTTGGCAGATGGTGACAAGAAAAGCGAATTTAGCCCGTTTCGTTGCATCTCGGCTTTTGGTGATATAATCAACTTTCGCACCCGGCCCGTGCATCTTGGCAAGTAGAGGATGCAGGCATCACGCATGTATATATATACCCTCTTAGCTTAATTTGATACCGGGCCCGTTTCGTTCACCCAGACCCCCATGCATGCTCTTTGGTCATTGGTCAGGTTGTAGGTGTTGGCTTATGTAATGAGGGCTTTTTTTCTCCGTCGTTCGAAGTCTGTTCCTGTCCTGGGTCTGTGGCCAGTTGGCTGGGTTATTTGAAAGTTTAAACTCTTTCCGAGTGGAATGCCGCTGTAAACGGTTAAACCGTCTTTTGACTTTAGTTGAAAGACTGGGGCTATGCCCTAAAACTCTAAAAAAAAATCACAGCAGGCCGGACAAGTGTGTACGATATGGGAGGGACAATTGATAGTGCTGCACTTTTAGTTAGGACCGCGTTAAGACTGTCTCCAACCGTGGGGACCTAAAAACGAAAGGAATTTCATCCTTTGCGTCGCGCACAGCCAATGGGTTAGGACCCAAAACATCACCCTTTCCAACAGACAACGCAAAAGATCCGGTGGTCACGTCCTCCTCCGTGCGCTGCCTTCGGCCCGGCCGCGTCCTCCTCCATGCCGGCGTGCCGCTGCCTTCGGCCTCCCTCTCTTCTCCCTCTCCTCTCCCTCTATCTCCTCCCTCCGGCGGTGCGGGACCCCTCCTAGGCAGGCGAGCGAGGTGCACAGCGGACGGTGGGGGCCGAATCTGTCTCGCCACGCCGCACCGGCCGCGCTCCGCCTTGCCGCCGTGGGAGCAGCCGCGGCCGCTGGCTCGAAGGAGTCGCCGTCGCCGTGGGGGAGAAGCAGCCCGCGGCGACCTTGCCGAGGCCGTCGGCGAGGAGCGAGGTGACGGCGTCGAGCCCCGTTGTCCTCGAGAAGGTCCAGCGTGACCTCGACTAGCTCCTCCCCGTCGTCGGAGCTCCGGTCAGAGCCGCACGGTGAGGAGCCCGTGCTCCCCCGGCGTGCCGACGCCCGGTCACAGGTTTGGGTTGCGCGTCTGGGAGAAGGCAAATTTGCCTCCCCTCTCTCCTCCCACCCAAAATGCGTGCCGGCTCTGCGTCGTCCGTTGGAGCCGGTTCTGAGAACGCAAATGCACTGTGGCGGACGCAATTTTGCGGTTGCGTCGCTTTGTTGGAGTCAGTCTAAGGCGTGACCCGTCGTGCTCTGCGCCAGCGCCCTGGATGATTTCAGTGAATGGCTCTATCTTGAGTTGCTAGTTGCTATCAGACACTGTCTTGAGTTGTGGTTAAGTCGGTTCAAAGGCCATGATAAATTACTTTGCCCTTTTACCTCCGAATATTTTTTTTCATAGGCACAAGAATACCTCTCTATGTATTGGATTTTTATGTTTTTTGTATAAACAAGATTATTTAGGGGCAAGAACTGAAGAATTGTTGTGCTTCATAGGAATAGTAGTGTATGGGGACACTATTGTGTGCAGCCCCAGTTCCAAAAGGAAGGGATCTTTTTCTCATGTGTGTCGACGCAAACTATTTGGGGGCAAAAATGGCCTTACCTCATGTGTTTTATTTGTTTATATTTTTCGGCCTATGCAGGTCCTATAATTAACTTCATTTGTGCTGTGGTGTTTCATGTTGAGGAGGGAGGAAGGCCCGAGACTGGTACATGATGTTGGATAATGTCAACATAAAGCCAATACATGATACTTTATATTTAATTAATTGGAGAGGAGGCAATTTGCAGTGATTCAGTTAGATTGGCCAATCAAACACACTAGCTACTACAGAAATCTGAGCCACAAAAAAAATCAGATTTCTAGAGGCGGCTTTTCCGAGCGCCGCCTCTAGTCAATTTGCAGAGGCGGTTCTATTTTGAACGGCCCCATAGGACACTTGTGTCTATTTAGGATATTTGTCCTCTTTATTTTATCTTCGTCTGATTTTCAAATGACTATTTGAGACTCTAAACGAATTCAAATGAAGAAGTTGTCCACTATAAAGTTTTAAAACTTTTTAAGATCTACAACTTTGGTTTTGGTCATTTCTCTATCCAAGGCCATTTAAAATTTTTTGAATTAAATTAAAAAAGTGGTCAACAACAAAGTTGCATAACATTTTGAGATCTACAACTTTTGTTTTGGTCGTTTCTCCATCCGAGATCGTTTGAAAATTTTGAATTTTATTATGTAGCTCCTATTTTTAGGTGTGGCTGAAATCAATTTCTAGAGGCGGCTGGAAATAGAGCCTCCTCTAAAAATCGATTTCTAGAGGAGGCTGAAAATAGAGCCACCTCTAAAAATAGGGGCATCTGTAGAGGCGGCTGGGAACAACAGACGCTTCTACTAATGCATTTCTAGAGGCGGCTCGGTTTGGAGGCCACTATAGCGGCTATTATATGTTGACCCATCTCTAAAAACCCTCTCGTCTCTGAAAATGGTTTTTGTAGTAGTGACATATGACTTGTGGTTGCCATTTAACATAGCTAGGTTGTATGTGTTCTCTTTCTTTTATAACTATCTACTGCCATGGATCAGATGAGAAAACTTGATGTATTGCTAAATGATGGCTTCAATGGAAACTTGATATATCTTTATTTAATTATGTGATTGATGAGTACTGTGTGCTGCTATCGATTAATTATGTGGTTGATGAGTAATGTGAAATGCTATGAATGTTGATCAGCCTTGAAATCAAGTGGTCAAAGCAAAATTAATTATATATAATTGTGCTAGTTCATAGCGATAGATTGTTGGTTGATAAAAGGTTTTATACCATCAAACCATTAGTTTGGTAAAACTTGTAACAGATTATTGGTTGGTATAAATATTAGCGTCCCAATATCTGTCGATATACGATATAGTTTTATACCGACGCCACTTACTGTGACAAATAGCATCGGTCGGTAAAACGTTATAGCAACTGATCCTTAGTCGCTATAACTGCTCATAGAAACCCTTTTGGAGTCGCTGTAGATTGATTGTGGCATGGAAGCAGTGCTGATCTTGTGATTTTGAGAAGGGAGACTAAAAACAGGGCCCCATGTATAATCATTAGAAAAATAGCCATAGAATCGTCTCAAAAAAAAAAGAGAAAAATAGTCACAGAAAAAAAACGTTGCTCATACTTCGAAAAGCAATATCTTTAAGATAAATCTCACCATCCTCGAGTTTTTGCCTTCCAGGGATTTGGTATGGTAGCCGGGCAGTGCATCTCGACGTCAAAGGTCAAAACTTTGTCAAGCTGCACACGCACGCCGTCCCATCAGCTGGCAGGGTAGGGCAGATTGGCGCAAGTACTGCAGTGTGCGGTCTCGCCATCTCAAGCGCTCAGCATGACCATGTGGGAGCGTCATAGATTAGGAAAACTTAAGATGGGAGACGACGCGTCGCAGCCTCATAGCTCAATCATCGCTTGTTGGGTGGTGTTTGGATGACACACCTGCTAGGGTACATAGCTCGATGTGGGCCCTTAGTTGTGGGGGCCTAGAGTGGCTGTCCAGCTAGCAGTTGGGTCTCGAGCTCCACTCGAGCGGCTCCATAGGGGTGACCCAAGATCTCGCGAGTGTTTTTTCATTTAGATTTATGTGGTAGTGGCAGACTGGCAGTAGAAAAATACTTAGGTTCCACGCTGGGTGAAGAAGAGCCTGATATCTGTGTTGTGTGCATGTGCTTCTACAACAATAGGTATTTGCGTTTAATTAATGTCTTAATATGAATGCCTTTGTTACTTTCTACACCTTCCTAGCACTGGGTTGGTGATAATGTATTGCTCTAATAATTAATCCAGACCCGACCTCGCGAGTCGAACAGCGGGCAGAAGGTGGGCCTGCAGCTCCCCTCTCTTCCTCTTATAGCTGAACTTGTTTAGGTTCTTCATGTTAGGACTGCTCCCGATTCCTCTTCCTCTGAAAATTGAACTTGTTAGCGTTCTTTGTGTTAGGCAACCTGATTTGAAGGGCTAAAGCTGAACACCATAGATAATAGCTGTATTGGGCTCACGAATTACGAGTTTAATCGTGTGACCTAATTATCAGAAATTAGTTTGCCATGTTAATTGTGTTGGACCTGT